TAGTGGTGATTATTAGTTCTTTCTCATTGTGACCTCCAATACTTGGCCATTTCGAAGCCATTCTTACCATAGTGATAATCTTCAATGGTCATATCAATCTCAGCTTGAGTATTCATCACGAACGGACCGTATTGAACCACCGGTTCACCAATCGGTTCTCCAGCAATCAACACAAACCTCAATTGCTTTGAAGATGACTTGTTCCACACGCTAACACCATCATTCCCTGGTCCGAACACCACAACACTGTGTGCTGGAATAGGCGAAGAGTTCGAGGAACTGAAAACGCCGCCCCCTTCACCGCTCTCTAGAATGTAAGCAAATGCGTTCCAAGATTCTGGAACATTCTGGTGGATTTGAGCTCCTGGTTGGAGAGTGAAATCGAGGAACATAGTAGGTGTTCTTGTGTAAACAGGTGATTGAATTCCCATTGATTCTCCTGCAATGACTTTGACTTCAACACCGTTTTGTTCTGCTTTTGGTATGTCTGAATGCGACAGTTCTTGGTAGTTTGGTTCTATCCTGTCGAAATGAAAATGAAGAGTCAACTTCCGGTTTAAAAAGAGTCCAAAATGTCGAATTTGCAAGTGGGTTTAGTTACATTTTCTCGTTGGAGGAAAGATTGATCCAAAGTTGTAAACCTTTGTTGACTTCTTCTTCAGGCATTTCAGAATGAATGATTCCTCTTCCTGCAGTCATCCACTGTAAAAATGTCCAGTAACTTTTTAGGTTTTTTAAAGCTCTTTGGGTTATGCAGTAATTAAACAGTTTTTTTTTTTTCTGTTCTTACCTGAACATCACCAGCATATATTGTACCCTTGTGACCTTTGAAGTCTTGGTGAGTGATTCCTCCCTAAACCACATATTTAAAAATTCGAATAAGATAATTTTATAAAATTTTTTAGAAGATTCATAATTAAAAAAATGTATTTTAATTACCTCTAGTACGTATGTAACAGTTTCAAACCCTGTTCATCATAATTTCCACAAAATGTTAGAGAGACATTAGATAATTGAAAATGGTTTTTATTTCATTTATGTATGTAATGGTGATATTGACCTCTGTGAGGATGATCAGGGAAGCCAGCTGGAGGCGAAACTGCTCCAAAGAAAAAAACATAAATTAGAAAATCATCAATAAATATCTGTTTTTTAAATGGATAATTAATAAATAAAAATGGTTATTTTTTTTAAATGGATAGCTAAATAAATAAGAATTTACCGGAGAATTCATCTAGCATCAAGAAAGGATCTAACAACTTCTGCTCACTCCTGAATTCATAGGAAAAAAAACCCAGAAAATTTCTTAGACTTGTAAAAATCATTTAATTTTCCTAAGAGAAAAAAAAAAAGAGAGAGACTAATCAAGGAACCTGGAAATGCCACGTCTAACGACGGCTCCATCGCCTTCTTTCTGAAGCTTAGCGAAGACTTTCTTGATAACAGGTCTTGATACGAAATCTTGGGAAGTAGAAGAAGACATTGATTTGATGTTTCTGATAAACCTAAATGAAAACAAACCTCCAAGTGAATTTGCTCTGTTTATTGCAGCTCTCATATACTTTAAAGTCGTCTTCTCTTCTCTCTTTTTTTTTTGTTGCTTTTCTCGGTAATAAACGAATTTTGGATGTGTTTTGGTGTTGTGATTCTGTGTGTCTATTTATAGAAGAGAGAGGATCAAGACTGTCTTTGAATTGGTTGTGGGCCATGATGGGCTTCAAAAAGCTTACACCGCCGCATTGTTTGGAATCAACACGGGATGCATTGTGTCATGCTCACGTCACTCTGATCTAACATTTGTTCTATATGTTTCTGATATGTCTTGCAACTAATTTAATCAGTCAAATGACAGAAAAACGAGAATAATTTTATAACCAAACTATATTGATACTGAAACTCTGGTTTATGTTTTGGTTTAAGAAGGTTTAAATATGGTTTCACGTAAAAACTTGTAGTTGTTATGATTTTTGTATGACAAGCAAAATTCTAAACCAAGATTATATAAGTTTATTTTCAGTTCAGTTTTCATTGTTGTTGATTCGGTTATAGACTAGACTGAATAACTCGGTTACTTTCTTTGATTGATCAATATGCAAATTTGGATTCAATAGTTCACGATAAAGTGAAAAGTTTCTGAGCTATAAGAGAGTGAAAAGTAAACTAGACTTTAAGCGAATAAATAAGACAATGTCGTAACTTTTAAAATAAATTAATTTATTGGCCAATATGAATTGAATCTTCTGATCATCCCCAAGTTTAAAAGTTTTAAAATATGGATTAACATCGAAGACCAGTTCAAAAGTGAACGAATAAGAGAGATTATCTCTAGACACTTTCTACTAGCCAACGTGTGACATAGGGATCTGACACGTGTCCCTTTTGCATACATAGACACATATGTAACCTTGACGTCATCAAAATTGGGTTACAGAAACATATCTGTATTTCCCGATGAATTAAATTGGAAGGTATGCGTTCGCATTTAGAAACAAATAAATGAATCATGCTTACGTCATAAGAATATTTGCGAATAAAGTTGTCACTTTCGATAAAAATCAGAGAGGAATGATTTGGCCATCATCAGAATTACTGTATTTTATCAGAAACAAAAAGTAAGTAAGAATCGAATTGCTTTTTTAGTCTTTTTTTTTACATATTTTCTGATTATCATTTTTGTAACATTACATACATGTTCTAGAAATGTACTATATTCAAATACTCAAAATCATTTAATATATGCTTGCAGCAATTATCTTATTCACTGTCTATTGAGTATTGACTGGGAAATGATATGTGTTGGCTTAGATTGGCTTTTCACAGAACTCTTTAGAGCCGGCATGAACGACTTCTCTCCTCGCCACTGCAGTTTGAAGCCACCAATCACTATCCTATCGAGCTAATCCAAAAAAAATGTGACACATAATATACCTAAGCAATACGTGTGCTTCAAATTGACATAAACATTAATTTGAGTTTTGTTTTTCTCCTTTGGCAACAAACCTATAATGTTTTTTATATATAAGATGGACCCTCTAACTATTTTAAGATTATTTAATTTAAATATAAGAACATCCAATTATTACACACTTCCTCGTTTCTTGTTTGCCAGTAGGCTACCTAATAATATGAAAAAAGGATAAAGTTAATCTAATTTTAAATTGTAATCAATATAATTTGGAACCGTTATTAGTTAAGTGATTGATTAAGAGATTTAGACGTTTCTATACTATGTTTACAGTACTACATTCTAGATCAATTTATGAGGTTCGTAAGTTTTAATTTCTTTTAAAGTCTTGAGAAGTTTCTGTCATTATCTAAGTTAAGTATGTTTATCTGAATTTGTCTCGCGAATCTTATATCATTATTTGCAATCATACTATAAACTTAAAAGAGAATCATACTACTGTTAAAACTCTTGCCAATGATATGTAATTAGAAATGACTGAAGCAGAACGCATAGATATGGAGAATGGTGTACCACTTTTTTTTGGTCGAAATGAATGGTGTAACACTTCATGAGATGAAAACAGATGGGATGCAAATAGATGTCTAGCTAGTGGAATAAAGTATGGTGGAATGAAGTATTCATCAAAATTTTGCTAATTAACCATTTATGTTGAATGGAGTGAGCATTTCACTCGGTCCACTTATCCCACTAAAAATATCATAGGGGTCTTCACAAACATCTCTAATGAAACAGAGCTATGTACTGTACACTAAAAAGCAAAACAATGAGAAATCTACGTTATCTTAAAAGTATGTTATAATGGGATCATCATCTTTCACAAAACTAAAAAGACATTACTTTGAATGTCTCTTGTTTAATGGAAAGTTCTAAAGTCAAACATCTAGAAGCTATTTGGGTGGTGTTTCCACTATTTTCTGCATTTATGGGATCTTCTTCCCCACCATCTATTGGACAAACACACTTTTTCTGCATTCATGGACATATAGATAATATACTTTTATACTATTGATTTGACTTTGAATGATTTTTTTCAGTGAATCTCAAGTTCTATATGAAAAATATCATTGTGAATATTTGGTAAATGAGTTTCACTAAAGAAAGTAAAACTAGAGTGGTACTAACACTCAATCTAAAACCTTACCTTTCTACTTTGTGCATGCTCTTTTTGGGCTTCCTTCACTCAACTTTTTAATTACAGTCACAAGTGAAAAGAAAGATGAAACAGACAATAAAACATTGCATACACAACTATACAAGGGAAATGAAAACAATAGTTCCGGACTGCATCAAAGGCATTTCCAGCAACTTCATCTTGCATCTTTTGTCTACTTTCTTTCTATAACCTGTTTTTTAATTTTAAGAATTTGATACAATTAATAAACAGTTATTTCTTGTTCTTCTTCTTTAGGTTTGGAGAAGGCTTTGGACCATACATGCAGATACGAAGTCTTCCTTCTAGGACTCTCTGGTGGAAGCAGTTTTTATACAAATCCCAAAACTCATCTCTGCAAATATAACAGAACAAAAATCAGAAAAAATTCCACTCGTTGATGATAATGGGGCAGCTTGTTCAAGAGTTGAGAAACCAAACCTGACTTGAGGCAATGTGAATAAGGAAAATCCCTTGACATCTGGGTGCATGTCGATCACAATCATATCTAAACGCGAAAGCCCTAAAGCTTCTATGTCGACTAGCTTTTTGATCCTGCATAGAAGAGCAAGAGGACAGTCAGGATCTAGAGCAAGAAGGATATGGAGATACAAGTAAAGGGAAACAATGAAAGGATGTGATGAGATTTACTAACCTGTTTGGTGTGCCACTCCCAATATTAACCCGTTTCTTCAACAGAGATACCTGCAACACAATGAACTAGAGTTAATAATTCGAGTCATATAACAATGAGCTTGAGAAATTTATATAAAGATTTTCGGAAACCATTTCTTTTTTAAATGAGAGTTTCATATTTAGACCAAAGCAGAAGAATCTAATTCTATAGTCTTCTTATATGCAAATTAAGAAACAAAAACAAGAGCTGGAATCAGACTGACGTGCAAATAGTTCGTTCAGCATTGCATACGCCTCTGAAATATCGATATACTTATCATCATTTCCCAGACTCTTAACATGAAAGACAGACAGAGAGAGGGAAGAATAACATGAGTATATGCATAAATGCTTAATGATGGATATATAAAGGGATCAGACTGACGTGCAAATATATATTGTTCAGCATTGCAAGTGCCTATGACATATTGATATATCTTATCATCACTTCCCAAATCCTTAACATGAACTAAAAAAGAAAGAAATGAACTACATGAGTATGCACCAACTCTTAATGTTATATATATATATATAAAGGGATCAGACTGACGTGCAAATATATATCGTTCAGCATTGCATGTGCCTATGATATATTGATATATCTTATCATCACTTCCCAAATCCTTAACATGAACTAAAAAAGAAAGAAATGAACTACATGAGTATGCACCAACTCTTAATGTTATATATATATATATAAAGGGATCAGACTGACGTGCAAATATATATCGTTCAGCATTGCATGTGCCTATGATATATTGATATATCTTATCATCACTTCCCAAATCCTTAACATTAACTAAAAATGAAAGAAACGAACTACATGAGCATGCACCAACTCCTAATGTTATATACATAATGGGATCAGACTGACGTGCAAATACATTTCATCCGCACAGCAATTAGCCTTAGAGATATCGTATTTTTGTCATCATATCCCAAGTTCCAGAGAAGCAAGAACAATGCATTCCACACAAGAGAACCAAAACAAGATTCAATAACGAAATAACTCAAAATGCCAGTTTCAATTTGGTCTCTCTTCTCTATGTGCTTAGAATTAAGTTCAGTTCTCTATAGACAAATCATTATAAGAATAAAACACTACCTGTTCCTCAACCTTCAAATGCTTTGAGAACAACTTCACTGCTGGACATTGCTTAGTCAATGAATGCAAACCCCTACATACATCAGACAGGACTCAGTCTAAGCAACTTTCTATTCAATCAAGCATTATATCAATCAATAACAAAGATACAAGTACACATATTTACAATGTACCTTAGAAGTTCCAAAGATCTCAGAGCAGAGGAACTAATAACAAGAACAGATGGGTTTCCCGGTTCAACTTTCCTTTCAAGTGACTCTCCTTCACAAAGAGTCTCTCTCCATGAAGACCCACAAGAAAGCTTTATATGTTCTCCCAAGTTGCTTACATCTTGATCCAACCCTTGAGATAACTCAACTATACACGTATCTGCAATTAAACCAGACAAATCTTAACTTCATCAGAACTTGGGAAATCTGTGCATTGATAAGTCGAATGAACAATCAAAGCTCGTATTTTTTTATATCTAAACCCAATAAGATATACTTAAACAGAAGTACATAAATACCAAGCTAGAATAAAACAAAGGACGAACCTTTAATGGGTTCAAGCTCTAAAGAAGAAACCTTGATACCAATGGCGGAGTCAAGATGATTCAAAAAGTAGTTGAGCTGCTCAGAGGCCGATACCGGTTCCGAATACAGTTGCTCGTCATCGTCGTTGTCGGTTTTCTGGTCGTTACTTCTACTCTTCTCAATGGTCTTATCAAAGGTGGGAGCTTTCGACTTCTTAGTCTTCTTAGTAATCTTAGTCTTCTTCTTCTTCAAATCTTTCTTCGGACCATGTGATGGTCTTCGATTTCTTTTAGGGTTTTTAACGGCGGAGGGTTTTAGCTCTGTAGTTGCCATGTTTTTCAGAGTATACAAACAATGGAGAAGAAGAGCGGCGTTATAAAGTAGGAGTCGCAAATTTAGGTTTAGCGATGTCCTTTCTTTTACCGCTTAACGGTTATTTTATATCGGTTTGTTTAAACCGCCAAATTTTCAATAACCAAACCAAATTGGTTAGTAGAGTAAGTAAAATATGCCATGTACTACAATGAGAAAAGTTACCAACGGAATTATTACTTTTTTGCTAAAGGGTTTTCATTGTAAATTTTCTGGGTTTACATGGTACTTACTTAACGGGCCAAACCCTACAGAAATGGGCCAACAATAAACTAAAACAAACTAAATTTACAAACAAAAGAAGACTAAGCCCAAAAAGGGAAATTGATGCCCAACTTGGAAGAAAATAAGGTTGCAACAACAATATTCGCATAATTTAGTAAACACTCACCATATTCACATATCTTGGAACATGTCGGTCTATTTTGCTTTTGATTTCTTATTCTTTAGGTAACAACAACAATACCAAATCAAACAAACATAAAAAAGTTAAGAAAATAGAAAACTCTAAAACACAAATATTCATCAAATAGTTATGCATACAAGAACACCATCATGGTTATGGAAGAGGATTAAGCTAATGATGGAATCATTCCCATCATCCTCGCATAAGCAAAAATACCACCAGCATCAATAACCGGTCCAGCATCACCGATCGACTTCAGCTTATAGTTTTTACCGGTCGTGTGATTAGTCAATAAACCACCACTATCACTCAGCTCGATCGTCACCGTATCTCCTGTCTTACACTCCTCACAGACTCTAACCTCTGACTCGAGCGGAAACACCTCTCCTGTAGCAACCGAGTTACGGAAAAAGATTCTTGCGTAAGACTCAGCAACTATGGCTTTAGCTCCAGCTGCTCCAAGACAGACCGGAGCATGTTCACGTGACGATCCGCAACCAAAGTTTTCGCCGCCGATTATGATTGAGTACTTTGATCTGTTCTCTCCTGGCTCAATGAACCGTGTTTTGTGGAAGTCTGGTAGACCAGAGAGAGCGTGAGCGGCGATCTCATCACGCTCTTGCTGGTTCGATGGGAAGGTGCAAGCGGCTCCTGCTGGGATGATCTGGTCGGTGTCTATGTTGTCTTTCAAGACATAGCAGAGGCCGTGGAAGGTTGTGTTGGCTAGGGCTTCGTTAGAGTCGGATTCTGAGGCGGCAGCACGTGGGATGATGGTCGGGGAGGATGTGCCACGTGAAGTGATGGAGATAGAGGAGGGGATTAAGGAAGTGGAACCATTGAATCTTAAGAAAGGAGATCGGAAGGTAGCCAAGGAGGAAGAAGTTTTGGTTGACGAGCAAGGTAAGGCTTGGGGAAATGTAGGAAGAGAAGACGCCATTGTTTCTTTACTTTGTTGAGTGAGTGAGAGAGTTCACGATGAAAACAATTTAAAAGGAGAAATGTTTGTACCCTCCTATTTACGAAAGTGCCATTCAGAATTCCAAACGTGCGTTTTGATATACTTAGGTAGGTCACAGTGAAACAAAGACTCTAGAAACGGATGCCTTAAAAGAAGTGTTAATATTTCTCGATACTTTATGACAAAAGTGTGTTCGATCATTGTGTGAGAAAAACAGAGCTCCTGTTCTGTTCTCATGACCAGAAGATTATATTAGTGGAAGACATGAGAGAAAACGTCGTTTCAAATGGGATGGGAAACTATGCATTTTTTTAGCAGCTGATACATCCAAATGTAAACAAGAAACTGATACTGAAGACTAAAGCCGATAGTCATATATATTCATAAAACATAGATTAGGTTCATAAGCTTTTGGAAACATTACATATTCTTATTATTGGATCAAGATCCTTGAAGTGACTCTCATGCACTTCCATTGACACCTGCAAAACAAATAGAACAAAAAAAGGAAAAAAAAAAGGAGTCTTAGAGACAAAATAAGAGTGAAGTATTGTTCTACTATCGGACACTCAAGTCTTAATGGATATGAGCATGGAAAAGATCAGCCAACATCATAACTTTTACCCTCCCAACAACTACAATCTAGAGATGTACAAAGTTTTTGTATCTAATTGAACCAATGGAAAGATAAAGTAAGTCTTAAGCGAAGAGAAAGAATAACAAGTCATTATCAATCTCACACAAAAACTAAACCAACACATTTTAAACAACACAAAACTAGAATCCCAACTACTGTGTTCTCTTTCTCTAACTAGAACCATTGAAAACTATGTTTTGCATCGTTCAATTCAATGTCAAGCTTCCTAGACTATTCCACAAATTCGATCTCAATCCTAACCTATTACCAATCCTCATCATCATCATCATCAAGTTACAGAATCATACCTGAAGTCAAAATCAAGCAGCAGCAGATGGAATCATTCCAGCTTTCCTAGCATAAGCAAATATACCACCAGCATCAATCACTGGTCCAGCATCACCAATCGGCTTAAGCTTATACTCTTTCCCAGTCGTATGATTGATCAAAATACTATCTCCTTCCCTCAACTCAACAGTCGCAACATCACCAGTTGTACACTCATCACAAACCCTAACTTCAGAATCCAAAGGATAAACCTCACCAGTAGCAACAGAGTTCCTGAAAAAGATTCTAGCATAAGACTGAGCCACCACTGCTTTAGCTCCCGCTGCTCCTAAACAAACCGGAGCATGTTCACGTGACGATCCACATCCAAAGTTTTCACCGCCAATGATGATTGAGTACTTCGTCTTCATCTCACCTGGCTGAACGAATCGTTCCTTGTAAGAAGCTGGAAGACCAACTAAAGCGTAAGAACCGAGTTTCTCGTATTCCTCTGGATTCGAAGGGACGAGAGTGAGAAACTCCGCGGGAATGATTTGGTCAGTGTCGATGTTGTCGCCGACGACATAGCACAGTCCATGGAAGGTTTTTCTTTCTTGTGGCTCGGCGGCGGAGCGAGTGACGAACGATGAGGATGCTTCTCGAGAAACTAGGGGTTTGAAATTGGAAGCGACGGATGTTGAATTGAATCTGAGAAATGGAGATCGGAAGGTGGCGAAGGAGGAAGGTTTGTTCGGAGAAGCTAGGGTTCGTGACAATGTAGGGTTTGCTGATTGCAGAGAAGCCGCCATTGTTTGTTTCTCTTTGCTGTGGTCAAGATTGAAGCAAGTCAACCAAAATGCGATTATAAATAGAGACTTTGTTCTTATTTACCAAAATGCCACTCTCCTTCGTTATTTCGGTGAAATGATAGTTAATTCTTTTGTAACAGTAATTGTTTTCTGTGTCAGTTATATGCTAACAGTAATTTAGAATTTGTTGGAGAGGTTAAAATGTAAAACACATTCATATCGA